GGCTGCACCCCTCAGCCACGTGCCCGTCTCCACATAAAACTGTGGAAAATAAACGCGTCGTCTCACTTTTTTTTCATACAAAACCGTTTCGTAGCAGTTACGCCTTCCTGTTTTATTTGCGGAAACGAAAAGCCACAACAAAATCTGTCCTGAAAGTGTCTGCAATCTGTTAAAAACCGTTTTCTATCCGTTTTGGAGTTACGACTATACGGCGAGGCTGCAAACACTGCAATCTCCCGATGGCCCTGCCAAAAACCTGCACCACAACGGCCCCAGAACCCACGGCTCACGTTCAGCAATGGGAACCAAAATCCACTCCACGGCAGCTGAACGACCCACACAGTGCAGGCTTCTGAACCAAGGAGAAAGGCAACGTCCACAGCTGGAGCAAGTTAAGGAGATCTCCCATCTTATTGAGGAGTTAAAACAAGTATTGGTAAATTATTTACAGTACTTTACACTGAAAAAGAAAGCAAACGGAAGGGTAAAATAAGGTATTCCCCGCTCTCATAAAGGAGCAGCATGGCAAGGCCACCCATTTCACCCCCAGTAAAATCCGGGCTTAAGTCGCATCCTCCGGCCCCGGGCAGACAGAGCCGACCCCGTCCGCTCGCACGGCTCCTCGCGCTCGCAGCAGCTTCGTGAAGAAAGCAAAGGCTTCAAATCCGCTCCACACCTCAGTCACGAGTTTAACCATCACCCGGCCACAGAAGTATCCGTGGCGTGCACAAAAACCATGTGTTTGCCCCGAGTCGGGAAAGATGCTCCAACAGGAGGGGACCAGGCCGTGCCCGGGGTGTCCGCACGCTGCAGGACCCAGCCTGGGGGTCCGGAGAGCCCCGGGGCTGCTCCCACCGACGCGGGGCTCACTCGTCCCTAGGGCAGCTGTGACAAACAGGGACACCAAACCGGAGCCCCCTCACAGCCACCCCTGGCCACAGCCGCCCCGCGCCTGCCCTCGCTGTACCCAAGGACGTAACTCCTCATCTCGTCACCGCGCCGCACTGAAAACGTGTGCAGGTCAGCAACCCG